AAAACTCTGGGAACGTTGTTGAACATGTCCGGCCTACTTTTTGAAAAATAACAGAATCATTTTTGGAAAATTCTGGTGTCGATTTTGAGAAAATCCAGAACCCGTTTTGACAAATTCTGGATTTCAGAATTCTTCAGATGTCCTGCGCGGCGGACGCATTCCACCCCTCAGAACTGGTTTTTGAAAATTTCCGGGCTCCTTTTTGAAAAATTCCGGAACCGCTCGCGCCAGAAAAACGGGGACGTTTTCTGAAACATTCTCCACTCCAGAAATAATTTCCGGGCGGTCCGACGGGCGCGGCCGGATGATTCACGCACCGCGCCGCGCGCGATTGGGCGCTGCGCGCGCCGCGCGTTGCGCCCGCGAACAGCACTCGAAGGGGTCACCTCGGAAAACAGCGCCACGGCAGCTGCGACTCGCGGACTCCCCACGAGCAACACAGCATACAGCTCGGCATCTCCGAGGGCGCTCCGGTGCGCGAAAAATGCACCGCGCACATCGCGCAAAGAACCTGCGCGACGGAATGCGCTCGACCATTCGTCCCTGTAGCCCGCGCGGAAGAACAGGAAAACATGGAAATCTTAAAAACACTCAATATCAATACTTCATGCTCCTCTGAAAAAAGGCGTCCACTTCCCCCTCTGCGCGTGGCTGAAACGTCCCGACGGCGGAGACTTCAATCCACAATTACTGTTCCTCATTCGCTGCGCGCCCCCCCCCCCGCGCACCACCGCAAGGACAGGAGAGCCCTGAATCGAATCGATGAGTCGGATGGGTGATCGAAATTAAGGGAATCGGTACAAATCGGCAGCCGAGTCGGGAGAAGTCGAATCGGCGGAAACTGGCAGCCGAGTACGCCTCTAGTGAGAAATCGGAATCTGAATCGGAGTCCCAAGTCGAATCGAATCGGAATCGGAAACCACCGAAGTCGAATTGAATCGAATCGGAGGCATCGACACGAGCCCCGAGAAGAGGCGAGGTGAGAGAAGGACGCCTGCTCAGAAGACGGCACAGACTTCTCTCAGAAGCCCTACTGTTAGGTCGGGCATGTCCCCCTACAGGCGAATTTGAGACGAAAAATGAAAAGTAGTCAAAAAATACTCCCAAACGGTCAAAAGTAGTGAAAAAGCCATCCCCTGGCCATTTTTCTACTATTTTCTAATATTCCCCCTGTAGAAGGACAGGCCCGACTCAGCCCTACGGCCTCCTGGGAAGCCTTCCGTGCCTCCGGGGAAGGCTCAGAGAACCTCTCGGAAGGCTGGAGGACTTCCGAGCCCTCCGCCGAAGAGCGCCCCCCACGGCGGAAGAGTTCATGGTCGGGCCTGGGACAGAAGAACATCCCTCGAGAACACGAGACCCTCTGCCGGCCCAAACGGAAGTGCACTCGAAGGCGCCATTACCCAGGATGCACCGAAACATCCGATAAGCACGGAGAACAGTAGGGTTACCTTCTCCGAACCGACCTGAGTCTTATATCAGCGGCGAACGAGCAGGGGAAATGAGACGGGGCGGGCCTTCTCAGAATGCAGGGAAGTCCCCCGAGCCTTCTGAGAAATCTGATAAGCCTTCCCGAAAGACGCAGAGAACCTCTCAGAAGGCGCGAGGGCTCCTAAGGAGTCCCGCCTCCCTCTGAGAAGGCCTTCTCATTCTGGCTGTCCCCCCTCGCTCGACGCCGATTATACCTCGGTCCGACCTTACCTCATACAGTCGGACCTGGGCAAGAATAACACCGTTCACGAACATGAGACCCTCCGCCAGCCAAAACAAGCAGAACATCCAAGGGCACCCTCCCCATCCAACAAACACGAAGAACAACATGGTACCCACCCCGAACCGACCTCGATCTTAGTTCGGCGGCGAACGAGAGGGGGAAGTGAGAAGGGGCGGGCCTTCTAAGAAGGGTACTCCAGATTTCGTAATAAAAGGAGGGGGGTCTCATTCCGGCGGGGGGTCTCTTCCAGGCTATCTTGGAGGGCCTGGGGGCTGGGGACGATGTTTTGGAGGGTTCTCCCACGGGGGAGGTCTGAAATGGCTTGTCTTGGAGGGTCCAGACCCCCTCCCTTTTATTACGAAATCTGGAATAGGAAGTCCCCTCGCTCGCCGCCGGGGAGCCACCCGGTCCGACCGCACAACAGTGCAGGCCAGTCCACAAGACAGTCCGACAGCTTCCACGAGAAACCCAACCCTGAGACCGCAGGGCGCCCCTTGAGTTCTGGCGTGGGAACGTCACGCGCTCCATCGCACAGCCATCGAGAAACCCCAGAAACCCAGGGCACCCAAGACGGGTGTCTCCTGGCATGGGCCTCCACTGTACCGCTCCTCGCTCGCGGCGCGCCCCTGCGCGGCACCGCACAGGGGCCCGCGGGCCCCTGCGCGGGGCCGCGCAGGGGCGCGCGCCCGCCGCAAAGGGGAGCGGGGGGGACTCCGGTTGGCGGCGGCTCGCCAGACGGCTCCGCGCGCGGGCGGGCGGCTGGCGCGAAAGGTCGGCGACGAGCGAGGTAGGGAAACGAGGAGGAGAAGACCTTCACAGCAGGCGGCGAGGCTTCTTTGGAGCCCTCTCGCCTTCAGAAGGGTCTCCTATGTCTTCGGGGAAGGCGCTTGTGGAAAACTTCTCGGGAGGCCAGGTTCACTTCCGAACTCTCTGAGAGGGCCTTTTCCTTCTCACTTTCCCCCCTCGCTCGCCGCCGAAAAGAGGCACGAAGCCTAGGATGCCCAGTACTTTTCCAGATTCTCTGGAGCTTCGTCTCCCTACATTTGCCCACACGTTCCCACATTTTCCGGGGGATCGACGACTAAGAATGTCTGTGCGTGGTTCCCCTCCTGGAGCGCGGGTCCCGTGCAGGGTCATCGTGCCAGGGCGGCAAGATCTATGCACGTCCACTGCTCCCAGGTCAGGCCCACTCTGGGCCCAGCAGCGGTGAATACTCTGGGTGGGATATTAATCGAGGGGTGGGCGACTTACCTTCTGACGGAGCTTGTCCATCCCCCCCCTCCTCCCTCCTCCTCCTCCTCCTCCTCCTCCTCCCCCCTCCTCCACCTCCTTCTCCTCCTCCCCCTCCTCCTCCTCCTGCTGCTCCTCCTCCTCCTCCTCCTCCTCCTCCTCCTCCTCCTCCTCCTCCTCCTCCAACCCCCTCCACCCGTCCCGCGGATCCCAAGGGGGCGGGGGCGATTATTGCCCCATCCAGAGTACGCCACGCCCTACCAGCTTGGCCAGGAGGGCGTGTACACAGCTGCTGGGCCCGGGAAGAACGAAGAGCCAAAAACAACCTTGGGGTACATCAGTTCTGTAGTCGATCTCCCGCTCGAGTCGTGCCCCCCCTCGGAGGCTTGGAGATGGGCACCGGCACCAGCACAGGGGGATGCCTCCATCCTGGGAAGACGCCCCTAGATTTCGGTGCTGTTGGTAGCCCCTCGGCCACCTAGGAAGCCCGAGTAGTACCACCATCGCCGAGATCGGGATCGTCTTTCCCCCAGTGGACGCACACCGCCGATAGTGGTGTTGGTGCCAACCTCCAAGCATCCGACTCCCCGCGCTTGAAGGGCCACGCCTTCACGCACGTCACCTGTTCTCGGGCTGGGCGAAAGCGGGGGATAGCACAGGTGGGGTTTGAGAATCAGCTCACGTAGCTGATTTCCCCGGCGCCTCCCTGCGCCGGGAGGCGCCCATGTATCGAGGAGTGGGCCCGGCGGCGGGGCCGAAACAAGCTGCATGCAGCAGATTCCCTAACCCCCCCTCTCCCTGTCCCCCCCTTTCCTTCGGCCCGACGCTGGTGGCAACCTCCGGAGGCATCCGCCTCCCCGCGCTTAGGAAGGCCACGCCTTCGCGCACGCCACCCGTCCGCAGCGCACGACCGTCCCGCGGACAGTCCCGGCGGCGAGCTCGCGCCTTCCAGCCCCCCCCCCCTCCTCGGGGAAGCGCGAGGGCGCCTCCCCCCGCCGGCGCGCACACTAAGGGGGGAGGGCGCGGCGCGAGGGGGGCGCCCTTCGGAGGCAGGGGGGGGTGGCTCCTGAGGAGGCCGTCGGGCGTCTCAGAGACCCGCCCGGCCTCTAAGAATCCCTCGTGAAAGGCTCGGGAGCCTTCTGCCGTCCCAGGAGTCCCTCGCGGGCGCCGCCAACATGCGCCAAGGCCGATGAAGCTCCAGCGAGGACCACCCCAGCACGGATCGCACGGAAGGATGGCCGCCTGGAGGCGATCCACTGAAGGACGGCCCACCCCGTGACTGCCTTCCGGCGGTCGCCTGCCACAGCCTGATCAGACTCGCGAGCTTTAGCGCTGCAAGCTTGGAGAATTCATCACGGACTGAGTCGCCAGCCAGCCACTGAGTCGCCAGCCCGCCAGCCCGACCATAATTGCGCAACGAAACTAAAGAAACCAATGAGAAAGAAGGAGACAGGCCGCGGAGGAGGGCAAAATTGAGAACCGCGCTCAGGCAGATTGGGCTAACACGCGTCCTGATATTCATCGACCCTCGCCACACCCGCCAGTCCAATTCCCCACACGACGACCACGACGACGACGACGACCACGACAACGACAAAGATGACGACGACGACGACGACGACGACGACTGCTGCGACGACGACGACGACGACGACGACGACGACGACTGCTGCGACGACGACTGCGACGACGACGACGACGACGACGACGACGACGACGACGACAACGACGACGGCACTGCTGCGACCTGCAGGCGGGCGAAAATGGACATATGATGTCCGACGACGCACTGCAGGTTCGCATCCCGACGAACCCAACATTGGTTTCCGGCACCGCGTGGCTCGCTCATGCAAACTCGAGCCATCGGCGACCATGCGGCTTCTCGATGGCCAGAGAGCGTTCCACATTGGCTGATTCTGGGCCACTGGCGGCGTTCAACAATCGGGCGGACCACGGCCAGCCGCGGCCAGCAAGCGGGCGACAGAGGCCAGACGACACACGACGACGCACGACGACGCCGCGACCCTGGCCGAAGGACGAGCGGGGCGAGCTGGCGCACCCGGGGAACATGTCGCCGAAGACCGGGTCGAACGGCACTGGAGACGGGAGCGTGGCGAAGCAGCCTGCGGGGGCTTCCCGTTTCCTTCCACCTCCTCCTCCTCCTCCTCCTCCTCCTCCTCCTCCTCCTCCTCCTCCTGCTCCTCCGCCTCCTCCTCCTCCTCCTCCTCCGCCTCCGCCTCCTCCTCCTCCTCCTCCTCCTCCTCCTCCTCCTCCCCATCCCCTGCCCCTCCTTCCCTGTACCTCCTCTTCGCCAGTCTGGACGCCCGGAAATGGATGCGGACCACACGGCCGCGACGCCCAACAGCAAATGCTGTCTAAAACCGACGGCGGCCGCTGTTGGGCGGGCGCCCGCGGCGGCACCAGCAGCAGGCCCCGCTAAAAATGAACAGGAGCTGCTGCCGATTTGTGTTGCCCTTCTTTCCGTACTCGCTTCGGACCCTCCAGAGCCACGCGCCCGCCCGCCCCCCCCCCCCCCAAGTGTCTTGGCACGTGCGAAAAACGGGTCCTGAGGGAAGCGCACCCTGGACCCTGATGCCCCCCCCCCCCGGGACGAGTTTTCCATCCAGAGGAACGCTTTCCGACGCATCCTGGGGCCCATGGAGGGCCATGGGACGCCCAGACGGTGAAACACCTCGGGGCCCGCTTCCTCAAGGCCCGCGTCCCCCATGACGACCGCTCCCCTCCCCCCCCCTGCTTTGTTTGTTTGCTCTTGTTGCTTTGTTTTTCCCTTGGCGCCCGGCGCTGGCCTCCGCCGTTCGACGCCCTCGTCGTCCTGGCCCCGCTGACCGCCTCGCGCGCGGCGCGCGCGCGCCGGGGCTGGGCATGGGAGTGGGCGGGGCAGGGAGGGGTGCGGAGCGAGGAGGGAGGGGGGCGGAGCGAGGAGGGGGGGGGGGAGGCAGAGGGAGAGGGCGGCAGGGAGAGGGGGGGGGTGGGAAAGAGCTTGAGGGAGGCGGGGGGGAGGCTAGAGGGAGGTAGGGTCGAAGAGGAAGGAGAAAGGCAGAGGGGCAAGCAGGAGGTCCTGCAAGGGCCATAGCTCTAGGACCGCCTGCTTCTGGACTGCACGCGGAGGGATGCTTCGCTGGGGGAAATGCCAGCAGGTTCGAAGTTCGAAGTTGTTGGTCGCTCTTGGGCCTCGTCGGACCCTTTCAAGCCTCGGAGGATTTCTGCCGGGGACCTCCCCGAGAGACATGACACGAGACTCGCGCCGCATCGACGCATCGGCATCGTCGCCACCCCCGCCGCCGTCGCGAGTCGGCCCCGCGGAATCCACACGCTAATGTGGCCTGGCGCGTGGGCTCCAAGTCCACGAATCGAGGGAAGCACCCTTGAAGCATGAGGCCAATGCCGCCCGATGTGGCGACGGGGCACGTCGACCCTGCATGGGAGCGGGACGCCCCGCCAAGCCACGCGCATTGCTAAGCGGCTGCGTTTCCTCTATGGCGGACGGGCGAGCGGCCACGGAGGAGCCTATTCCAGCACGCGCACGAACTAGCGATGCACATGTTTCTGACTGCCTACGTGGGGTCAACTCGGGCTCCCCATTGGTGCGCGCGCCACGCCGTCTTCAAGACGGAGCCCCAGAGCCAATCACCTGCAAGCGACGCGCCAACGAACAATTCTACACGCGATCGGGAAGCCACTGCCGAACGGCCTCCCGTAAACACTTCCTGCCTCCTCCTCCTCCTCCTCCTCCTCCTCCTCCTCCTCCTCCTCCTCCTCCTCCTCCTCCTCCTCCTCTTCCTCCTTCTCCTCCGCCTCCTCGTCTCCTCCGCTGTTCGTCCTCGTCTTCCTCCTTCCTCCCTCCCCGTTTCGTCCTCCTTATCCTCCTCTTCCGCCAGCTCCTCCTCCTCCTCCTCTTGATCCTCAGTTTCCTCCTCCTCCTCCTCCTCCTCTTCCTACTCCTCCTCCTCCTCCTCCTCCTCCTCCTCCTCCTCCTCCTCCTCCTCCTCCTCCTCCTCCTCCTCCATGTACGCATATCCCCAAGTCCGATTGCGCATTCATCGATGGGGTCAGCTTTGGAACTCCAGCTCAGCCAGGACACGCGTCCATGGACACAGAAGCAGCTCAGCGCCATGAGACGGGACAGGTGGGAGGGGCAGAATGTCAGATAGGTGGCGCGAGCCCCCCGCCCCCTTCCCTTTTCTCCCTCCCCCCCCCGCCTCCTCCTCCCCCTCCTGTTCCTTGTTTGTGCTGTTCCTCTCTCGCTTGCTCTCTCTCTCTCTCTCTCTCTCTCTCTCTCCCTGTCTCTCTCGCTCCCGCAGCGCTCCGCAACGCTTCCTTTTTTCCGCCGCCGCGCCGCGCGGCGGCGGCGGGGCCCACGGACGCCGCCGCGGGTCGTTTCTGGTGCTTCGACGGGGGAGGGCAAGGAGGAGACCAGCACCACGTAGTCCCCTCGATGAGAAGGGGGTCGGTTGGGCGGCGGGGCCACACAACAGATGTCTAGCCGCTGCGGACGACGTAGCACGTTGCCTGTGGCGGTGTACCGCTGTAGACGGGGTGGCGAAGTAGGTTCCGGATCCGACATCTGCATTCTGTAACCGCAGGGGCCCTCGCGGTTCAACTGGTGGCCCTGTTACCTGAATTGATGGTCCTCGTAACCGTGCTTGCGGTTCCCGTAGCTCGGCTCGTGGTTCGCGTAGCTCTGCCCGTGGCCCTCGTAGCGGAACTCGTGGCTCTCGTATCTGAGCTGGTGGCTCTGCTGGTGGCCTTCATAGCTGGGCTGGTGGCCATCGAAGCTCTGGTCTCTGCTCGTTGCCCTCATAGCTCAGTCGGTGGCATCGAAGTTCCAGCCACTGTCCTAGTAGCTCTGCTGGGAGCCCTCGTAGCTCAGATCGTAGCCTTCCTTGTCGTGCTGGTGGCTGTCGAAGCTCAGCTAGTGGGACACGTGGTTGAACTGGATGCCATGGGAGCGCAGTCTGATGCGCTTGTACCTATTTTGGTAGCCCTCGTAACGAAAACGGTGGCCTTTGTAGCTGCCCTGACTGCTTTCGCCTGGCTGCCCCCTTCTGACTCTACCAGCTGTCGCGCCTTCTGCTCCTCATTTTCCTCCGGTTCTTCCTTTTCCTTGTTGTTTCTCCTCCTGCGCGGCCTGCTGTCGTACAGCCTCGTCCTCACTCTTATTATCCTCACTCTTGTGCCAGGCCGCCCCCTCTGGTGTTGCACCTGGTGTTGCCTCCAAAGCGGAGGCCTCCTCCTCCCTCGCGCCGAGCCCGCTGGTCTGGTAGCCGTAGCCGCGCGCGTGGCACTCGCAGGTGTCTACTCGCGATGCACTGACTCCTGGCGAAGGAGGCCTCGCGCGCCTGCATGGCCATCTCCTCGGTACCCTTCACCTCGTTTACCTTCTCCCCCTCCTCGTCCTCCTCCTCCTCCTCTTCTCCTCCTCCTCCTCCTCCTCCTCCTCGTCCTCCTCTTCCTCCGCCTCCTCCTCCTCTTCCTCCTCGTCCTCCCCCTCCTCCTCTCCATGCCCTCGTGGCCCCCCTCGTCTTCCTCAGGAGACCTCATCGCCTCGCGCTCGGGCGGCCCAGCGGCCTCGTTCTCACCTTCCTCCTCCTCCTCCACTTCCTCGTGCACCTTCTCTTCTTCCCTCTCGCGCTGATTTCACAAAACTCCTGGACAAGCGCAGCACGACGAGGCATTGTGTCCGGGCCCGCGCAGAGCTTCCGCAGAGCGCAAGCGACGCGCAGGCCCGTTTGCTCCCGACCTCGTCGCGCGGGGGGGAGGTGCGAGCTGTAGCCAAGGAGCCAAGGCGTCAACGTCATCAGTTTCGACCGCTTGGTACAGGAGGTCCGGGGGTCGTGGCTCTTCCCTGCGCCTCCTCAGCGTCCCCTTCCCCGTTTTCCTCCGCCTCCTCCTCCTCCTCCTCCTCCTCCTCCTCCTCCTCCTCCTCCTCCACCCGCGCGCCTTCCACCGTCGTCTCCTCTTCTGCCTGCAGGCTGGCGGCCCGCTCCTCCTTCACCTCCTCGTCCTCCACTTCCACCTCCGCTGCTTCCTTGCTGGTGCCGTCCGAAAGCGTTTTGCTGGGGCATGGTATTGCGCACCACATGCAAGCGCTCCAGGGGAAGGTCTCCTCGTCGTCGTCGTCGCCGTCTGCGTCGCCAGCCTCTGAATCCGTGTTCCCGTACTTCATCCTCCTCACCCAAGCGGAGCTGCCAAACGTGGCGGGCGGTCTATTCCCCGTAGTGCTCCATCCGGCGGGTGATGTCCTCCACCTGCTCGCTCGTGTGTTTGAAGGCTTGGTAGCACATGCAGGCCTTGACCTAAACACAGTCGTCCTGGATGGCCTGCTTATCGCCGATGAAAAACAGTTCGGGTTTGATATGATCCTCGAGCGCGTCCTCGACGCCACGACTACGTCTGATGTCCAAGACCCTCTTGCCGTGGATCCATTCCATGAGGGCTGTTGTTTCAGAACCCCCTTCGATAACGTTTCGTCTTGGTCGTCCTCATCTTCATCCTGCTCTTCCTCTTCCTCCCTGTCAGCCCGCTGGACCTCCTCCTCCTCCTCCTCCTCCTCCTTCTCCTCCTCCTCCTCCTCCTCCTCCTCCTCCTCCTCGCCGGCTTGCTCAACACCCTCTGCCCTCTGGACCTCCCCTGGCTTCCGAAAGCTGTCCTCTGGCTGCCTGGGTGCCCCTGCTCTCGTGGCTGCCTCTGCCCTCGCCCCTCGCAGCCTCTTCTGCTGTGCTGGGCTGCCCTGCCTCTGCCGGGGCGGCCTCGCCGGCCCTCCTGGCCTCGGGGTCCTCGCCCTCCCAGGGTCACAACGGTCTCCTCTGCTTCCGCAGCCTTAATTAATTCGGGCCTGTCCCCCTACCGGGGGGATTGTCGACGAAAAATAAAAGATGCCCCAGAAATATTGGAAAAAATGGTAATAAAAACATGTCTGGGGACTATATTTGGAGCATTTCTTTGCCATTTTGGAATATGTTTGGAGTATGTTTTATTATTCGTCGAAAATCCCTCTGTAGGCGGACACGCCCGGCCGTAGCCTTGGCAGGCTGCCAGGCACTCCTGACCTTGTATACCTCTTGGGCCCTCTCTGCCTCGCAAGCCTCCTGTACCTTCTCGGCATCCTCCGTCCCCGCTGCCGTCTCGGTATTCGTGGCCTCCTCAGTCTTCCGGGCAACCTCTGCCTTCTAGTCCTCCCGGTGGACCTTTTGGCGGCCGCTGTACCGGCGGCCGTCGTAGCCTTGGAAGTCGCAACTCTGGGTAATCGAGGGAGGTGAGACCAGCCAGAACCAGTTCCGCCCTTCTTCTCCTGGGGGGTAGACGCCGCGGAAATCATCGTAGCCCTGGTGGTCGCGCTGTTCCCCGTACTGGGCGGCGTCGCCGTGCTGGTCGCCGTACACGCCACCGCATTGTGCACTGTGCTGGTCGCCGTGCTGGTCTCCGTGCTGGCAGCCGCACTGTTCGCCGTAATAGTCGCTGTGCTGGCGGTCGCCGCCTGGCGTTGTACTGGTAGTACTTCTCGTCTCTGTGGCCGCGATCGGAGTCGTAGTTTCCTGAATCGTCCTGAGGCTGCCTGTTACGCACCTCGTCGCAAGAGTAGTCGGGGATGGCCCGTCCCGCAGTGACCGTAGTGGGCACTATCGTAAGAGCAGTCGTAGCGATAGTCATGATGTCACTGAAGTGTGGTTGTAGCCCGTGACAGACGAGGTATCAGGTCCTCTTAAGAACTGCATGTGCTCGTGCCCATGTCGTCATCGTCGCATTATGTTTCGACATGGTTGCCGGGATGTCTCCACGCAAACTGCTCGTAAGCGTTGATGGTGTTATCGTCGTTGTGCACCGCGATGACTCGGAATACTTGTACACCCTGATGCGATGATCCCCCACTCGTGGACGCAGGCATTACGGTCGCGTCTACAGACCCTCTTGACTGGGGGACATGAGGGAGATGCTGATTCACGGTCGGTGTTGGCCCAGCCACCGCGCTGGGACCGCTGGTGTTTGCTTCTGGTGAGCTTGACGCTATGGTGTGGATGTTGCAGTGCACTCGTTGGCACCAGGGCCAAGGTTCACGTCTGTCTGGATGGACTCGGCGCTTCTGCGCTCCAGGTTTCGAGGCATGGCGGACGTCTCAGTGCGGGGGTGAGAGACCCACTGAGGGCATAGACCATCTCAGTGCGGGGGTGAGAGACCCATTGAGAAACCCTGGTCTGTGGATCGTGTCCCAGGCTTGCGCTGCTCAGGTCTGCTCTGTAGTGTTATGTTCTCCGGCGGCGTCATCGGCAACGAATTCGTGATGCGCAAATCGACGTCAACACGCTTGTCTACTGACTTGCATGCCTTTCGAACTTCCTTGTGCAGTTAGGGATCACCTTTTTCGTATTTACAGCTGACCCTTTGTATAGTCCTCGTTGACATGTTGTCTTGAGGCGGGGACCATCTTTGTCTCCTTTCTCTCTGCGGCGTGGCTAGGCAACATTTCACAAGGTGCGCTCTTGTGAAGCATAGGCCGCGGCGGCTCCAACAGGCCTTGTGAACATTTCACAAAAGGAGCAAATGGTTGCACAAGTTCACTCTTGTGAGCTACACTTGCTATGTAGCATCATTGTCCCGGTAGGGGACAATACGTCCCACCTGGCCTGCCCTGTGTAGTTTCGTGCTCCAGGTAATCAGTGCGCTCTGAGGGCGACAATAGCGTCCGCCCTGAGAAATTTACCATTTCCCTAGGGGGTCAGATGCGCCTCCTAGGGCTCAGAGGTCAGGCAGCCCCTGACTATACCACTACACGCATTTGTGAACTACACTTGTTTACTCTTGTAAACTACACTTGCTATGTAGCATCATTGTGCCGGTAGGGGACAATACGTCCCACCTGGCCTGCCCTGTGTAGTTTCGCACTCCAGGTAATCAGTGCGCTCTAAGGGCGACAATAGCGTCCGCCCTGAGCAATTTACCATTTCCCTAGGGGGTCCGATGCGCCTCCTAGGGCTCAGCGGTCAGGCAGCCCCTGAATATACCACTACACGCAGTTGTTAATATGAGATCCATGTGTTACGATTTTCTTTCATACGTCATCATATACGCACATCGTCGCCTTCTTATTATTCGTATTATTCATTTTCTGCCTCGTCTGCATTATGTTGCATCGAGTACGACTCGGAGTACTCGGCTAACATAACACGCAGACATTCAAGAGCACGCCAAAATATCAGGCTAGCCTGCATATTCGGCGCCTGGTTGATGAGCTTGGTCAATGCCCAGTGTGGCGGAAGGTGGAGTCTCACACGGGACTGTTCTTGAACGACTGGGCTGATGAACTCGCGAATTGTGGTACAAGTGAACTCTTCTGTGGCCTGCCAGACGTACGGAGGTGGGCAAGCTTAGCGAGCTAATCATCAAGAGCGAGGTCAGACAGCCCCTGACTGTATACATACACGCATTTGTTAATCACAAGCTATCATTATTTGGGAGCATCTGCCTTGGCTTCGGCGGCCTCTCGCCTAAGGCGCGTTCCATTACATGAGTCCTCCTCTGTTGCTCCCCATGCCACTCCTTCTCCCCTCCTCCCTCCCCTCCTTGTCGTCCTCGTCCTCCTCCTCCTCCTCCTCATCTTCGTCCTCCTCCTCCTCATCATCATCATCCTCCTCCCCTCCGCCTAACCCCTCTGGACACTGTCCTGGGACCGTTGCCTTGCTCTTACTCTTAGTGTGGTCACCGCCTCTCTGTTTGGGAGGCCCACCAGATGGAGCACATTGGCTCCAACTGGAATTGCTCCAGCCGGACTTCGCGCCGCCCTAGGTGGGGGGAGGGGGCCAGAACAGCTGGAGCCCCGACGGACGGTGCTCGGCGGCGAGCCCTTGGGGAGGAGGAGGAGGAGGAGGAGGAGGCGAAGGAGGTGAGAAGGGGCGGGCCTTCTCAGAAGGCTCGGAAGTCCTCCGGCCTTCTGAGAAGTGTCCTGAGGCTTCCCCGAAGACACTGAAAGCTTCTCAGAAGGCCAGAGGGCCTCTGAGAAGCCCCGCCGCCTTCTGAGAAGGCCTCCTTCCTCTCACTCACCCCCCCCCGCTCGCCGCCGAGTCGAGGGGACGTAAGACTCTGGTGCGGGGGGCTCGGGTTGGCCTGATGGGGCTGTCATGAAGATGACGAGACCCACTCTGAAACTTGATGCGAGCTCCCGCTGACAACTGGACCCTCAAAATCCAGGGCGCGCAGCGTCGGCAAACCTGAGTTCCAGCGTACTCGAGTCTTACGCTTCCTGGACCGAGGAGCCCCTCGCCAGCTGGACCTGCCAGAACCCGCGCCGCCCGCGTGGTAGGCAAGCACGTTCCACGACTGGCAAAGTCACTACTCGACAATGGCCTGAATCCGCCGTGGGGGGTGTACGATACATACAGTCAAAAACCCTAATAAGGACGCGCGGTAAGGACGCAAGACCATTGGAAGCCGAAGTTCGGATTGTTGGGGCGGCGGACGACGAAAACCTCAGGGACGCAAGAGCAAGGAAGAGCCAGGACGCAAGGGCACCCTGAGCAAAGCCGCGCGTCCTTGTCAGGGTTTGTGACCGTATCACATCGAGGCGAGCGTGGGTGCTTCCTCGAACGCGTGCGAGCAGGCACGCTGCGAGCCATGGGACGCGCTCGGCGACCGAGGGCCCGGCGGCCGCGCCCGGGAGAGAACGCCGTCGGGGCGCGGGAACGCCGCGGGGGTGTGCGGCCGCCTCGGGCCGCGACGGCGCCGGCCTCTGCTTCGGGCACCACCCAGGGGGCCCAAAGGACACAAAGGAATGAATGCACACAGATCCCAGAATGCCCCCTATTCTCCAGTGCGTTAGGGGTTTCCGTCTTCCTCCCCGCTTCCCATGACATCTTCCAGAAGAACGTCCTTCCGGAAGACGTCTTCGCGGAAAAAGTCGTCGTCTACCCATATCTCCCCCTATCTTCCTGGGAATCGACGTTTACTTGTGTCTGTGTGTTTCCCCCTCCTGAACCACGTGGGTCGTTCCGCCTCGAACGATCGTGGCTGCAGGAAAAAGGAAACGCACCAACACCACCACCACCACCACCACCACCACCTGGAGGATGAAGGCAAAGGGTGGTCACGGGTGGTGGTGGTGGTGGTGGTGGTGGTGTATATCGTTTCGGGCGCTCTCCCGGGACATCCTGCAACCCCGTGTCCCGCACACCACCGCCACCGCGTCGACAAGACGCGGACCTGCCGTGGTTGGAGCCGCCCTGCCCCCCGTGCGCCTCGGAGATCCGCTGCGCGGTGTCCACGTCCATCTTAATCGCGCCGCGGGTGGTGAAGTGGCGGTTCGTGCTGATGACGGCGGGATCTTGCGGGAGACACGCGTGCTTCCGTCGCCTCCTCCTTTTCCTCATCTTCCCCCGCCTCCTCCTGCTCCTCCTCCTCCTCCTCCTCCTCCTCCCACCCGCCCACCCTCCCGAGCCCAACGCTGCTGGCAAAGTCATTGGTGCTTCCGTTCTGCGTTGCAAAGCCGTTCCTGAGCGTGGCAATGAACACTCATCTGAAGAAAGAAGGATGTATGTGAAATCCGACTTTACAACTTGCCCCTTTGCAAAAAACACTCCAAGCTGCCTCCGCTGTGATCCAAGACGTCCGTGGGGGCGCACGTCAGGATGTCCCACTCCTGGCGCGTGTTGCTCGCGGCCCGACCACCCAATCGCATGGAAGCCGCAAAGGTGCAGAAAAATAGATCTCGGCGTGAATGCTGGCCTGTGCGGGGCAACTGCTGAGTGGCACCGATGGATGTGCCATGTGGCTGCACTTCGACGTCGGCACTGACACCACATATCCGCCACCATGCAGCGATGCACGACGTGGAGTGTGCTCAGGTCCCTTAGAGTTCTCTGTACTGTTCTGACTGTTCTGCAGGTGGGCCATATCCCCGAGTTGCGAAACTACTGGCGCGTTGCGCGTGGCTTCTTCCGAGGCCCTTGGCACGCGGTTGGGGATCTAAACGTCCAGCATGAACTACGTAAGATGGACGTCCAATGAGGCCCTCCTGGAGCTCTCTCAGGGGACCTTCTGGGCCGCCTTGG